GGTGGTGAGTAGTTTCAGGATGGTTCAAGTGCATTACATTTATCATGCACTTTATTTCTATTATTACATTATAATATATAATGAAATAATTATACAACTCACCATAATACAGAATGAATGAGAGGCCTGAGCTTGTTCTCCTGCAACTAGATGGTCCCATCTGGGGGTGATGGGGGACAGTGACAGATCATCAGGCATTAGATTCTCATAAGGAGTGTGCAACCTAGATCTCTCGCATGCACAGTTCACAATAGGATTTGCTTTCTTATGAGAATCTAATGCCGCAGCTGATCTGACAGGAGGCAGAGCTAAGGCGGTAATGCGAGCAATGGAAAGCAGCTATAAATAGAGATGAAGCTTCACTCACCTCCTGCCATGTCACCCAGTTCCTAAGAGACCAGTACTGGTCTGTGGTCCAGGGGGTGGGGACCCCTGATCTAGAAGACAAAGGCAGGATGTCATCAAACCTGTCTCTTCCCACTGCAGTGTGGCAGAAACTCAGAGACAGGCCACAGAGAAAAAAGCAAAGTGGCAGCGCTATGCAAAGGGAAATTTTTGCCTAATATAATAAAGATCTGAGGGAAATTAGAGGAGAGCAGCCACAGCTGAATACAAATGATGAGGAAGGTACATTTGCACTGGAGACAGAGTGCTACCTCATCATTGTGTAGCATCAAAGAATAGTTAGGACTGTCTGCCATCTACTGGCACATGTAATGTAGGTTACATTGGCCCAAACCCCCTTCCCTGTCCTAGGGAAGTGGGATGCTCACCCAGCTATTGAATCACTTTCCCAAAGGAAGGCGTATTGCCACAGCCCTCAGTTCTATTGCACACCACACTGACGCAAGCATAAAGCTCTGGCCTTTTCTCCCGTGTGTGTATGCGCACGCACATATAGAGCATTCCTGGCTGTTGAGTCTCTTCTAAACTTTTGTGGGTCACAGAGAGGAGAGGGCTGTCACATTGCACACTGCACAGGAAGTAATGCAGAATTTGTTCCTAAGGGACCTTTGCTTGTCCCACCTGCTGGCAGGCTGCTTCCCTCCACTCCACACCAGCCATTCACCTGCTTACCCCTCCTCTCCCTCCTCTCCTCTTCTCCTCTCCTCTCTTCCCCCTAGTCCTTTCTTTTTTCTCCCCTCGCTCCCTGGAGTATTGTATTTTCTCTTGTGACACAGCTTCACCCTTACTTGCTTACATACATACTGGACTTCTGCCCCCAGAGTCTCACATTTGATTCTTAAAGTCTCTCTTCAAACAAACATTTTCTCCTTAAGAACAGCTTTAGGGATGGTCATCTTGATAAGAATATTTTTACCCTGCAAGAAAAGAAAGGCACCATCCCCAAGAAGACCTCTATAAAATGAAAGCAAGGGTGGGTGCAGTGCCTCACGTCTGTAATCCCAGCACTTTGGGAGGCTGAAGCGGGTGGATCACCTGAGGTTAGGAGTTCAAGACTAGCCTGGCCAACATGACAAAACCCTGTCTCTACTAAAAATACAAAAATTAGCTGCACATGGTGGTACATGCCTATAATCCCAGCTACTCGGGAGGCTGAGGCAGGAGAATCACTTGAACCCAGGAGGCGGAGGTTGCAGTGAACTGAAATCATGCCACTGCACTCCAGCCTGGGTGACAGAGTGAGACTTCATCTCAAAAAATAAAATAAAATAAAATAAAATATAAAATAAAATAAAATAAAAATATACCAGGCGCGGTGGCTCATGCCTGTAATCCCCAGCACTTTGGGAGGCCGAGGCAGGCGGATCACGAGGTCAGGAGATCGAGACCATCCTGGCTAACACGGTGAAACCCCGTCTCTACTAAGCCGGGCATGGTGGTGGGCTCCTGTAGTCCCAGCTACTCAGGAGGCTGAGGCAGGAGAATGGTGTGAACCCAGGAGGCAGAGCTTGCAGTGAGCCAAGATTGCACCACTGCACTCCAGCCTGGGTGACAGAGCGAGACTCCGTCTCAAAAAAAAAAAAAAAAGGATATATATATGTGTGTGTGTGTGTGTGTGTGTGTGTGTGTGTGTGTGTATGGAGAGCAGCCTGAGACATGGAAGAAGAGGAGGATTGTCCAAAAAGTAGAAGAGAAATATGAATGAGACCAGAGCATGGCTTCTTCAGCTACAGCTTGCTAAGAGATTAGAAGTCAGCATCAAAGCCTGACAGTATGTTTGTGTTTGGTTACCATTACATAGACATAACCATATTTTAAATAACTATCATAAACTGATTCTAATTTTATTCTATAATTAGGGAACAGGACATTCTCAAAGAACACTTTGGCTGTCTTTATAAAGGTTCTAGTTAAAGAACTCTTCAAGACATCATTATGGGTTGATTTCTGAACTAGATGGGCCATGACTAATGATTTCAACCAAATCCCATTTTCAGTAGGCAGAACCAGTACGTAGAATTCCTTGGAGAATGTGGCTTACTCTTTTATCCCATTTGGATGTGTTATATATGGGTTATATGAAATGCCATCTGTCATAAAACAAAACATTTTATTAAGAAGATTTTTTTTAATTGTACTTTCTGCAAACAACCAAATTCTATAAGCTAAACCAGAGGTCCTCAGAATGTAACCCCAGATCAACAGCACTGGCATCACCTGGGAACATGTCAGAAACACAGATTCTCAGGCCTCACCAGACATAGAGGAACAGAAACTCTGGTGTAGGGCCCAGCAATCTGCTCATGTTAACAAGTCCCCCAGCTGATGCTGATGCCCTGAAGACCACGGTCCTAGGGTCACCATGATCACAAGGTTCCTGATTGGTCCATATGGAATATTTCTAAATCCTAGTGCAATCCCTGAATTATGATTCCTTTCATTTCCAGGTCTTTTGATTCTCAGAAATTCGTAGCCCTGTCTTCAGATGGCACGGTTTCTTCAATAAAGCCAATGTTTGTGTCCCCGCCCAAACTCATATATTGAAATCCTAAGCCTCAAGGTGATGTTATTAGGAGGTAGGGCCTTTGGGAAGTGATTAGGTCATAAGAATGGAGCTCGCATAAGTGGGATTAGTGCCTTTATAAAAGAAGCCTAGGAGAAACCCCTCGGCCCTTCCCCCATGTGAGGGCACAGCCAGAAGGCACCATCTGTGAACCAGAAGCCCCTCGCCAGACACCGAATCTTCTAGCACCCCAATCTCTGACTTTGGACCTCTACCCTCCAGAATGGTGAGAAAGAAATGCTTGTCATTTCGGCCACCCAGGCTAAGGTATTTCTGTTATGGCAGCCAGAACAGACTGCCAGAAAGACCGTTTCCCTGCCACAGCTGCTCACAGCTCTCTGCCAGGTTGTCTGCTCTCTGCCAGGTTGTCTGCTCCCTGCCCTGCACTCCTGGGCTCCTCCTCCAGTGTCAATCATCACGCACTTTGCAGGGAAGGAAGGTCTCACCCTCAATTGCTCTCCTCAATCACATGTTCAGAGCTCTCTTTACAACTGCTGGAGCACTCAAATATCCCAAGGGAAAGCTTCTGTGTTCCATCCTGGACCTACTAGGGGCAACCACCCTTCCACCAGGGCCCCCACTCTCACCATGAGCTTCAGACTCTCATCTCCCAAGATCTTGCTCACAGCACAGCTGCCTTCCGCTCACGCAGGCCAGAGGAGCTACCTTGTCTCCTCTTAGAGCAACGTCCCACCACTCCCTTGGGGCTCAACCTTCGCTTTGTGTTCTGTAAAAGTCAGCAGTTCTCAAGCTTGAGACTGCATCAGGCACACCTGGAGGGCTTGTGAAACTCCAGAATGGTAAGTCCCGCCCCCAGAGTTTCTGATTTAGTAGGTCTTGTGAGTAGCCCAGAATTTGCATCTCTAACAAGCCCCCAGTGGAAGCTGAGACTGTCATCTCCTTAGGCCGCGCTTGGAGAACTGCTGTTGAAAGCCAACATCACTGAACTTACCTGCAGAGGCACCTAAAAATAATCAATCCAGAGCTGCTCCTTCTCCAAATGACTACTCTCTGATGTCTGTCAAGAAATCCAAATTATTTACCAATTACTTTATTGGTAATTAAGTTCCACCTATTTCAAGAAAAGTTCTGAGCTGACTCTCATTTTTGATTAGCCATCAGCAGAAATAGTAAATTTACCTAGTGCATTCAGAAAAATGCTGTTCCTCCCAAGGAAACGTATTTTCTGTTGCTCCTGAAATCTGCTGACCTTGGCACTGACTCTGGTCCTCTTACACTAAGGTGGAGCTGGGGCAGGGTTGGGGAATCAAGACTGAGAAACCTCGCTGTCCTGCAGCAGAACGGAGATACATGGAAGAAGGAAGACAGAATCTTGGCTTTGAAGAGAAAGTGAGATGTGATGTCAATGATCCCGCTAACACCAAAACCATTAAACCAGCCTCGTTAAGGGAGGCCCCACCTCCCCACCCTTCCTGCCTTTTCTACCAAGCCAAACCCAGAAATAGAACACAGCTCACTTCTCAGGGCTACTGCCTCTGCCTCAACTTCAGAGACCACATCTGCAGCTCCCAAAACAAGGTCTGTTCTGCAGCTGGACAATTCACTGCTAAAATCCCAAACCGAAGAGCAGAGCCAAAGCCAGAGGAGACAAAAGTGGCAATAGGGCCAAAGCCTCATTCCAGATTCCAAGTATCATTCTGCAACCCTCTTGCTATCAACTGCTGCCTGCTGGCTGCAGCCAGGTCCCTGGTCCACACACAGCCTGGATCGGAAGCCTACAGAGACACGGGGGCTGGAGATGGGAAACAGATGGTGGCCTGTGCTTTGTCTTTCCCAAGTTTACAACCTCACCTGGGCTGTTCTGAGAAGCCCCGAGAGGTAAGTTCATGCATCACTACTGCCCCTCTCCCTGTGAAAGCAGAAAGTCAACACGCATCCTACCCTAGAATAGACCAGCCTCACCTATAGATTCAAGGTCCTGGGGGAACAGTATCAAATGCCTCTGCTCACTGCCTTTTACTTCTGACTGTGGTTCCCAGGGAGCCTAAAATTTGAGAAGTGAAACTGAACATCCCACCGCCTTGGTGAGGGGAGAGGAAGAAACTTCACGGGGCTTTTTATTGGCCGGTTATTTTTCTGTGTATCCCACACAGGCCCTCACCATGAAGGGTTTCACAGCTGCTCTCTTCCTCTGGACTCTGATTTTTCCCAGCTGCAGTGGTGGCAGCGGTGGGAGAGCCTGGCCCACACACACGGTCTGCAGTGACAGTGGCTTGGAAGTGCTCTACCAGAGTTGCGGTAAGCCCTTGCAGTACACCCATGTGTGTTTATGGGGAAAGTAAGGCCCACAGATGTGAGCTGTTAGTGCTCAGCTGGGGTGGGTGAGGGGAGAGGGGACCAGCAGCTGAACACATTCTCCACCTGCAGCAAGTCTGGGAGGGCCACTGGGAGCCTTTGGGAGAAGGAGAGGTGGGGCTGGGGCCGGGAGCGGAAGAGAGAATGGCAGAGTGACGAAGAGTACAAGACAGAGAAACTGAATATAAATACAGTCATTTACTAACACCAGAGAACCCAAAAGAGAACAAAATGATCAGTGAGTCGACCAAATCATCAAATCTCACCAGTTGAAAATTAGGAAAGAAACTTCCAGTAGGCCCTTCCCCAACACTGTACACCTGGGCTACCTTCCCATCTGATGTACTTTGCAAGTGAAGTGAAAAGATCACTCCTGCCCAAAGAGAAGATTCCGGTCCCTCTCTGGACACTTGCAGAGCTTTCACTGCAGGAGCAGCTCTCGTGAATTCAGCAAACACTTCGCATGCAGCTATCAATGCCAGAGTTTCTCAGTGCTAGAGATAATAAAAGTGCATAAGCCAGGCCTGTCACCCCAGCGGGCCAACCCAATATGCCAACAGATAAATTGCAATTCAGTGAAGAAAACGCAGTGATCTGCGGTAAGAAGTGTCAGAACCAACCAACTGGGCTGTGTCTTAGTCAGCTAGGGCTGCCATAACAAAGTACCACAGGTTGGGGGCTTAAATAACAGAGATTTATTTCCACACAACTGTGGAAGCTGGGCTGGTTTCTCCTGAGACCTCTCTCCTTTGCTTCTAGGTGGCATCTTCTCCCTGTCTCCTCATGTGCTCTTCCTTCTGTGTACATCTGTGTCCTCATCTCTTCTTCTTCTAAGGACACAATCATATCAGATTAGGGCCCACCTTCATGGCCTCACTTTAGCTTAATCAGCTCTTTAAAGACCCTACCTCCAGCAGGGCGTGGTGGCTCACACCTGTAATCCCAGCACTTTGGGAGGCCGAGGAGGGTGGACCACTTGACTTGAGTCAGGCATTCGAGACCAACCTGACCAACATGGTGAAACCCCGTTTCTACTAAAAATACAAAATTAGCAGGTCATGGTGGCACGCACCTGTAATCCCAGCTACTTGGGAAGCTGAGGCAGAGGAATCGCTTGAACCCAGGAGGTGGAGGTTGTAGTGAGCCAAGATCGTGCAATTGTACTTGAGCCTGGGCAACAGGAGCAAAACTCTGTCTAAAAAAATAAATAAATAAATAAATGAAAGTAAATAAATAAAGACCCTATCTCTACATACAGTCACATTTTAAGGTACCATAGTCCCCCCAGTCTGCTAGGAATAAGTTCCAAGACTCCCAGTGGATGCCTGAAATCACAGATCATTTTGAACCCTACATATACTATGTTTTTTGGACCCAATAAATGAGACAGCTACTAAGTGACGGATAGGCAGGTAGTAAAGACAACATGGATATTCTAGACAATTCACGTTCCTGGTGGGATGGAGCTGGACAGCATGAGATTTCATCATGCTACTCAGAAGGATGCTCCATGAAAAACTTACGAATTATTTCTGGAATTTTCTATTTAATATTTTTGGACTGCAGTTGGCTGAGAATAACCAAAACCTTGGAAAGTGAAATCTTGGATAAGGGGGCACTACTGTACTGGGGGTTGGGACTTCAACATATAAATTTGAGGGGATGCAATTCATCCCATACAGGGCTCCCAAGTGGGGAGCAACTCAGGAGCCCAGCCTCAGGATCACATCTGCTGTTAGAGGGACTGGCTTGTGCAAATGCATGGCATTGTGATATCTGCCACTTTGGAGGGAGATGGGGGCAAAATGCCATTTGAACTGCAGGAGGTAGGAAAGAGAAGTTGATTAAGCATCTGAATTGGTCTCACTCTAAGCTGGGGTTGTGGTGCTTGAGCGAGTACCTGATCCTACAACTGCCACCCAAAGAGCTGCCCAGAGAGGTCCAGATGGTCACTCTAGTCACCAGGGCCATTTGTTCAATTTGACCTTACTCTTTTAAAAATAAGGGACATTGAAGTGCACACACACACAAAAATTAAAAATAAGTAAAAGAGAATGAATGACTGGATGCTGGCAGTGCTGATGTTGTCACTCTAGGTTTTCCCATGGGGTCAGAACCACTAGTATCCCATTCATTTTTGGTGCAGGATGAGAAGCAAGATGTGAGACAAATGGACTGGTCAGGGTTGGTTTTTCCAATTCATCCTTGAATAAAAGGTTGCCACAGCTGATCTGTCTCCCAGACTCCCCCTCTGCCTGCAGCCAGGCCGGTACATCCTTTCAAGTCACTTGCAAGAGGACTGGGCATGTCAGGGAAAGAACAAGGACACATCACCTGCCCACCGGAGGATGGCTCTTTCCTCTGTAGGTGAAGTTGCTCCATGAAGTCAGTGAATGTCTTAGCCAAGCCACTCAGAATTAGAGATGGAAGAGATGCAGTTCTCATCCAAGGGGTGGGAAGATCAGACAGTTTAGCAACAGGATAAATGCTTTGTGTGAAAGGCTGTAGTGAAAGCAGGCATTGTGCACCAGTGACATGGTAGTCAGAAGATGGTGAGGTTGGCATCTGCATCTATTGGGAAAGGAGTCACCAAGCCTAAGTTGAGGCTTAAAGACTGATTAAAATAGTAATGATAGCACCTCATGTTGGTAGAGGCCACCATGCTAAGTGCTTTACACGTATCATTCTTATGTTGCAGATGTGTAAACTGAGGGATAAAGATGTCATTAATAGTTAACTTTTCCAATGCCACACAGCTAATAATGGCAGAATTATATCCCCAGGGTCACAGAGAAGGTAAGACATTGAGGAACTATTGATGGAATTAAAACAAATTGATCCCCAGCCTGCCTGACTCCAGAGCCCATGCTCTAAAACTCCCTGTGGTCTAGAGTCTCATCAGCAGGCAAAGTGGACTAAAGGAGGGGTGAAGGGAGAAGTTTTGCAGAGAGAATGACACGTGTGAAGGCAGGAAAATGGGACCAGGCACAGGGTTCAGGGAACTGCGGGAGAGCTAAAAACACAAAGGGCTGAAAGAGGAAGTGGGACATACGAGCAGGACCCCATACAATGGTGGGCTGCCTCTCTTTGGGCAGGAGGAGGTTGCATTTTGGAAAGATCCTCAGGCAGTAAACAGGAGTGTAGATTTTGAATTGGAAGCTATTTGAGGCTGAAAATAAGGTTTTCTCCAGGCGGAGCAATAATTCAGGAAAGAAACCACTAAGGCCTGAGTTGACATCATTTCCACAGTCTTGATAACCTTGAGGAGAAGGGAAATTCACAAGCAGTTACTGGGCTCTGAATACTGACTAGGAAGTAAGCAGTTTTCTGAAAAAGCAGAAGTCCTGACCTGGCCAACTGTCAGTGACAAAGGAAAGAAGAGAGCCACTTTCTTTACTAAAGCAAAAGAAGGAACAAACACAGTTAGGGCCTTGGGTCTGCTAAATCACAAGTCCCAGGGTTACAAAAGCCCAGGGACTCCACCCCATGCACATGCCACAAACAGCCACCAATGTATGTATTTATATGCTGCCTCCAGCATATACACGAAGATGTGAGGAGATGACAGAAATACTTATGATTAGAAGGGGAAATGGGCAACAGTGGAAGAAGCAGTGTGAGGGGAAGCATAAGGGAAAGTGCTATGAATGTTTGTGTCCCCTGAAGATTTGTGTTAAACCCTAATACCAGTGTGACAGTATAAGGAGATGAGGCCTTTAGGAGGTGACTAGGTCATGAGGGTGGAGACTTCATAAATGGGATTAATACCCTTAAAAGAAGAGGCCAGAGATCTCCCTCTTTTCACCTCATGAGGACACAATCAGAAGGTGGCTGTCTGTAAACCAGGAAGTGAGCCCTCACCAAGAACCTGCCCCTGCTGGCTCCCTGATCTCAGACTTCCATCCTCCAGGACTCTGAGAACTGTTTAAGCCTCAGGACTCTGAGGCTGTTTAAGCCCCGCAGTGTATATAATTTGTTAAACTTGCCTGAGTTGGCTAAGGGGAAATCATAAAGGCAGGAAAGGTTAGGACACATGTAACAGATGAGGCAGCATGAGAGTTAAGAGCTTAGAATCTGGAGTCAGCGAAGCTCATTCTAATCTTGGGCCACACTCTAGATCTCACATTGTTGTTTATAAGGAGGGTGTATTAGTTTCCTGTTGTTGCTGTAACAAATTTCTACTTGGTGACTGAAAACAACACATGCATTCACGCATAGTTCTGTGGTCAGAGTCCAAAATCAATTTCACTGGGTGGGCAGGGCCTAGGCCTTGCTCCCTTAGAAGCTCTGGGGGAGAATCCCTTTCTTTTCTTTTCCAGCTTGTATAGCTGCATTCCTTGACCTGAGGCTTCTTCCTCCATTTTCAAAGCTGACAGTGTAGCATCTTGCTTGCTTCCGTCATCACATGGCCTTCCTGTTCTGTTTCAAAGCTCCCTCTGCCTCCTTCCTGTAAGGACCCTTGTGATTAGGATCATCTCCCCAACTCAAGATCCTTAATCACATCTGCAAAGTCTCTTTTGCCACATAAGATAAGATTCACATGTTTCAGGGATTAAGAGGTAGACATCTTTTGGGACCATTATTTAGCCTAATATCATAGGGAGAACATATTACCTACCCAAAGGGCTGTGTGAAGATTATGTGAGAAGGACTACATGAAAGGTGCTTAGCACATACTATGCACTCAATACATCTTAGCTGCTGATGACTTTGTACAGTATTTTACAACTGATTGAAGTATAATAGACTCTGAGCTTCCTTGAAGCCAAATCAAACAAGGAAATGGCATTGTTTCTAAAATAAAATTAGTTTTTAAGATGCCCAGCTTTTCCTGATATAGGGATGGGCGATGAGGGGAATTTCTCCCCAGAGTAGATGGCATCCTGGATGGCGTCTCTACTGAGATGCCATGGTGACTCAAACCCGCTGTTTCTAATGATGCC